CCTTCTCTTCATTAAACTAGGCATACCCAATTCCAGCAACCGTTCCTTATATGTTTCAGCCTCCAGTCCCCTAATCATCTATCAAGACATCTTTTTTCCATGCCCAATAAATCTGTAGATCTGTAGATTTCTATATAATGATAACTTCCACTTTTTGTACAAAATTCAAAAAAGTATATATGTTGGGATTGATCTCAAAGGCTGAAAAAAAACCTCCATCCTAGGGCTGCATTCACATGGCATCCTCAAACCACTGAACCATAAACCAATTAAGCAGAACGGAGTGTGCAGCATCTTAAGCCTACATCTTAAGCCAAATAGTGAGAAATGTTAAACAAATAAAAAAAACCTGAACTGTTTTTATTAAGTGTAATTCCAAGAAAAAATAATAAACAAAGTGTATACTTAACATGACATGTATTAACAGCAGCGGGGATTGTATTTGTTCAGCACTGGAAAAATGAAAAAATGCCATTGGAGGAAGAGATAATCAAGAAAATAGTGGACTGTGCTGAAATGGATAGACTTACATTGAGAATCAAAGAAAAAAAAGACACAGAATATTTTGAAACATGGAACTTATTTTATCGATCGCTGGGAAAACGGGGCAGAGAATAAGAACTTAACTTGTATTACTAAGCAAAACAAATTAACCCAGACAACACATTGTTCATTAAACACTAGAACAGAATTATAATGGAATAGAATAGAATAGAATAGAATAGAATAGAATAGAATAGAATAGAATAGAATAGAATAGAATAGAATAGAATAGAATAGAATAGAATAGAATAGAGCTGGAAGGGACCTTGGAGATCTAGTCCAGCTCCCTGCTCAAGCAAGATAACCTATACCATCTCCTTAATTCCAGATTGCTTCTCTCTTTGACCAGTCTCCAATCATTGTTTCTTGTCCTGCCCTCTGGTGATTTGCAGAATAATGTGACCCCCTCTTCTTTGTGGCAGCCCCTCAAATACTGGAACCCTGCTATCATGTCTCCCCTATTTCTTCTTTTCTTTAGACTAGCCAAACCCAAGTCCTGCAGCTGTTCTTCTTATATTTTAGTCTCCAGCCCTTGGAACATCTTAGTTGCTCTTCTCTGAATTTTTTCCAAACTCTCAACATCTTTTTTGTGATATGGTGACCAAAATTGGCTGCAGTATTCCGGGTGTGGTCTTATTAGGGTTTTATAAAGTGGTACTAATACTTCACGTGATCTTAATTCCATGCCTCTGTTTACACAACCCAGGATTGTATTAGCTTGTTTAGTTGCTGCTGCACACTGCTGGCTGATAGTCAAGTGATCATCCACTAGGACTCTAAGGTCACTAATGAATGGTAATAATAGAAAATTAATAAAATACTAAAAAAAGAAAGAAAAAGAAATTTTAAATGTCAACCAAGTTGAACACCATGTGTAAAACACACCATTATTGTTGTTGAATAGATATAGTTAGGCAAGATACGTGAATACAACCTAATCCCAACCCCGTGCCTTTCAAAATATTGATCCATGAGTTGAAGGAAGGATTAGAAAATACTAAATCTGTAGATGAGACAATATAAAGGAGATAAGTGATGTATTAAAGGACAGCTTCAAAACTCAAAGGATTCTTGATAACATTTATTTGTTTGTTTGTTTGTTTGTTTGTTTATCGTATTTCTTAACTGCCCATCTACCTTGGTTGCAAGTTGCAATAATAAGCAGAAATGAAGATGAATGTCAACAACGAATGAAAAAAAAATCCTACATTGGGTAGGAAAAATCAATGCAATGAGCATAGAATTGGGAATAGCGGAGTGGGGGTGGGCGGGGGGGTGGAGAGCCTACTGGTAAAAAAAGATTTGAATATTTTGGTGGCTTATGAATTGAAACTGAGCTAACCGTGTGATTCAAATGCAGAAAGTGTAGTCCGGTGCTACATTGACAGAAACATAAGGTCAAAATCAAGAGAGATCGTTTTCCTCCCTATTTTTTCATCGGTCAGATCACACCTGGCACCATATTTGGAGAAAGACATTGAGAAAAAACGCCCAGAGAGAAACAACCAGATAGTCAGAAGCTTGGAGAGGTGAATTTATGAAAAACGGTTGGAGCTATTGGATATGTTTATTGGAGAGGAGAGAGGACTGTGAGAAGAGACACAATGCGATCTTCAGATATTTGAATGGCCATCTCGTATAAAACGAGGGAGACTTGCTTAGACTTGTTCTAGGAGATAGAAGTTATATTACAGGAAAAATAGATTTTTATTGGATATCAAGGGGAAAAAAATCCTAATTAAAACAATGGAATTAACTTTATCAGTAGGTAATAGACTCTTCTTTGCTGAAGGAGTTTAAATAAAGGCTAGGTGGCCATTCCTTGGGAACGCTGTTATAGTGGATTTCTGTACTGCGTAGGAGGTTAGATCCTCTCTAATGTCATTTCCAACCCTTATGCTCTATAGTTCTATAAAAAGCAGTAAAGAATATGAAATAAGAGCATTTTTCTGGCTGGAGTTTGAAAAAGCATATCTTGTGATATGGATTCAACAAGCCCAATTCATACATCTGATCTCTGTCTTTGAGTTTGTTCCAATTTTTCAGCTCCATATAAACCAGTGGTTCTCAACCTTTTTAATGCAGCGACCCCCCAACCGGTCGTAAGTCGAGGACTACTCAACTGGTGCAGCACCGTTTGCAGAATGGGACTTTTGGCAGGCTCAGCAGGGCAGAGACAGCCTGGACAATTCCTATTGGTTTTTGAAAGCCAATAGAATTAGACTCTATTCTAGAGAGTCTATTCTATTGGCTTTCAAAAGCCAATAGAATAAAAGGGAGTAGCACGGCTAAGGAAAAGGGGGAAAAAATGGCGGACTGCGTTGTTTGGCAACCCCCGTGAAATGGTCGTTCGACCCCAAATGGGGTCCCGACCCACAGGTTGAGAACCACTGATATAAAGCAAACATGTCTTACCTATGCTGGAAAGTGCCCACCTGCAGAGGAAGAATTAAGAACCCTGGATTTAATTAGGCCAGCTATAGTTTGAAAATGGGTTCCTTAAGTATAAGGACTTCCTTTTAAAGTCAACCCATTTAGGATGTTGTGCCCCAAGCAATACATTACTTGACATTTAAACAATTAAGTTGAACCTGGCTGTGAAATGATCAAAAAGTAACTTTTTAAGATAGCACTGTTCCCTTAGTAAAGAAAAATGCCCAGCTACATTCAAGTAGTTGTAAGTCTAACTTCTGCCCAGAGGTTATGGGGGTGTGCGTGATTTTGTGGTTTGATTGCATTAAAAAAAAACAGCACAGACTTTCTCAATTTGATGTCATCCAAGTGTATTTGGGTAGAAATTCTAAACCTAGCCAACATAGCCAGTCGCCAAATTGGATTTGGGCTGATGAAATCTGTAGTTTACCACCCACTGACATCTCTGAATCACAGGGTTGGAAAGAATCTTTAGAGGTTTTCTAATCCAGCCCCAATTTGGGACGTCTCCAACATCATTAACAATGCTTTAAAAATATTTTACATGGCTGGCAGGATTTTTATCGCTCTAAAATGTATGAGCAGCTGTGCTTATTTCTTAAGATTTAAGCCTACATTTAAAGCTGACCAGAGTCGCCTTTTCGGAAAGATGGACCGCATATAAATGTAATACATAAATAAAAACAAATAAATATTATTACATAACCTGAAGTTTTCAACTTCTCAAATCTGTACTTTTTAAAGATGCTGCAAAAAATACATCTGCAGCCTCTCACCATTTTGACAAAGACTGTGATGTAGGGATCACTGGATTACAAGATCAAATATACCCAAATAACTCTGGGCCAGTTCAGCCCATTCTTTCTCTCAAGAGGAAAAATTGGAGGAGACAGTATTATGCAAACTGTGTTTCAGGAGCAAAGAATTGCTGTAAGTCTAACAACCCATTAATATTTATAGTGCAGAAGATTTCTTCTTTTCCTCTTCCTGTTGAGTCTCTCCAAAGAAATCATCTGCAGAACATAGTTAAATGCCTTATGAATGACAGGCTGCTGGCAAGCTTTCATGAAATTCTTCTTGAATTTCACATGCTTAGGCAAGAGCATAGCAAGATAGCAACAATGAGGGGTCCTTGGTTCCTTCTGAGCTTGCTTGTTCTCTTGCAGACTAATCAAGGAGAGAAGCAACCTGGAACTAAGAAAATTCCTGACAATTAGAACAATTAATCAGTGGAATGATTTACCTCCAGAAGTTGTGGGTGCTCCAATACTGAAGGTTTTTAAGAAGAGATTGGACAACCATTTGTCTGAAATGGTTATAGGGTCTCCTGTCTGAGTAGAGGGTTGGATTAGAAGACATCCAAGGTCCCTTCCAACTCTTGTTATTATGTATTTCCAGTCATACCTTCATGTCAGCAGCATGAACTCATCGGCTGAAGGTGTTTTACTGTCTTAGGCTCCAGTTGTAAGGTCAATGGGAAAGTGGACCAGTGCTTCTCTGCCCAAAATCGAAGGATTTCCTGCTTGAGCAGGGGGTTGGACTAGAAGACCTCCAAGATCCCTTCCAACTCCGTTATTCTGTTATTCAGACGTTTTTGAATTACTCAAACTAGGTAACTTCATCAGTGTTTGTAATGAAAAGTCTGCAAGAAAACAACCAAACTCGGAGAGCATCAAGGACCCCTCATTTCAATCCTGAGCTGCAAATATTCTGTTTTAAAGATGGACAGTGGTACAGATATGGGTGGGTTTTGGAGCCAGCTCCAGAGATATCAGAATGACGACCCAGTCTGGAGCTGAATCGGGGAAATCCTGACAAACCACTTGGTAACCCAGAGGAGTTGAAAACCTATTGCAAAGCTCAGAATGGTGGTGGAACAGATGGTAAATCTTACACCACAGCTATATGTTAAAACTGGAGGGCACCCAACCCAGTAAACCCCCCCCCCAAAAAAAATCCAAAATGCTTTAGTCTGATCGTGATCTCTGGATGAAGAGAAGCTGAAACCAGGTGAGGTACTTTACCTACTAGGAAATCGGAGATGGCCAGGTTCAGGAGGAAGTAATTGTTCTGCGTCCTCAAGCTGGAGTCCACCACAAAGGCCAGCATCACCAGTGCGTTGCCCACCACCGTGGCCACGATCAGCAAAGCCATCAGCACCGCCAAGGCGATGGTCCAGGTGGTGGAAAACTGGCCCGAGAGATCTTCTCCCTGCGCTCCTTCGAGGCTGTGCGAGCCGTTCAGAGCAAGGGCGCCCGGGGAGCTGTCCATTTCAGCACCTTGCGCTTCCACGGCTCAAACACCCGGGCGAAGTCGCGGCGCCATCTCTCCAGCAAGGAACGGGACTCCGTTTGGCTATATATTATTCAAATGCATTATAGCCGGCCAACTCCAAGGGACTCTGCGCGGCTCTAGCTGACGGGACTTGCCTCTCACGGACGGAGGGAGTCGGAGACAGCCGCTTCGGCATTGCGCCCTTAGCCAGCTCTTCTTTCCAAGTATCAGCCGATCGGCTAAGGCAGCATCGATCTTAAGCGGTTGAGGTTCTTTCTCAAGTTCTCAGTGAAATAGTAATAACACTGATAATGATCATAACAATAAGGGTTTTTTTTCCCCCGTTCTGTTGCTTTCCGATTCTTTCTCCCGGTGAGACTGTAGGGTTTTTTTTTTTCTCCTGAAACTCAGTCTTTCCTTTCTCCTTCCTCCCACTTCTTCTCCTGACGGGAAAAAAGAGGGAACGGCGGGAGTGGAGGAAAAGGAGCGGAGGGGTGTGAGTGGGGGCTGACTCCACTGATTGCAGCAGCTGCTTTGCTCGCTCAGCGTCAGAAGTGACTGACTCCGGGCCAAAACGAAGAGTTTTCTCAAAGGGTGGAGCCAACTTGCTTCTCAGCCCAGGGGGACAAATATTTGCTGGGAATCTAGGCTGTGATTTCGGACTCCTGAGCAGAGTATCAGGTTGAGCAGTCATTGGCCTCTCAGCCAGCTTCAGAGCCAGCCACTGCTCCTCTCTCTTCCCATCTGCTCCCTTATTTCTGCCTTTCCAACGTCTCCCATCGAGCTTCAGGCAGGCAGCAGGAGCAAGTCAATCAGCGGGACCAGTCTGTTTGCTTTGGGATAAGGTTGATGAATTGGTCAAGAGGCCCACGCAGGGGGAAAAAACTGATTAGAGGAAATAAGATCTTGTAATCTCATTCAGGACTGTGAATGCTTAATATCAGCAACCCTACAGACAATCAAATAAGCCGTAAGCAATTTAACAGCCTTGGTTTGCTTATATGCTTAGCCACAAGGAACTTAAAAGAAGTAACACTAACCATGTTTAATACGTTGTGCCAATGTCTCTTTTCATGACCTCAATCAGTAATTTGTGTCAACACAGTCTGCTTATGTGTGGGTGTATATGTGCAGAATAACAGAATAAGAGAGATGGACTTTTGAGATCTTCTATCTAGTCCAACCCCCTGCTCAAGCGGGAAACTCTATACCATTTCAGACAAATGATTGTCCAGTCTCTTCTTGGAAACCTTCAGTGATGAAGCACCCGCAACTTATAGAGGCAAGTTGTTCCACTGATTAATTGTTCTAACTGTCAGGAAATGCACTTATGAGTGATCACTGTTCAAACCTCATGAAGTCTCAGCCATTCGAATTATATAGCACTTATAATATCCAAAGAGCATTGCGTGTTTAATCATATCAGGTAAAGAAGCAGTAAATTCATTCCTGCAACATGCTAAGCTTGGTTAGTGGTTATCATATATGTGTGTAATGTATTTTTGGACTTGGCCATTTGATTAAGTTGTAGTTCAATGAGTTTTGCAAAACCAGAAACTGTATGAATTCAGTAATCAGGATTAAGTGTGTATAAGATTATACATAGATGGAGAAAATAGACAAGGATTTGTTTTCTACTTTACTGTGTCCTGAAATTAAAATTAAAGAATTAGGTCTACCACACCTGGGCTGAAAAAAGTCTGGACCACTAGTAGATTGCAGTAACAATCTACTCAGAAAACTGTAAAATATATTTATGTAGCAAGTAATTTAAAAAGAAAAAGAATAAATTGCAACAATAGAAACCAAGAGCGTGGATGTTTGTGTGTCGCACATACTCCAAAAACATCTACATTAAACATATGTCAAGGTGAATTCCTTTAAAATGTTGCAGCCCCCACGGCCTGCCAGAAAATTATTTTTTTTATATTCTGCACTCCAGAAAAATAGAGAAATGGTCTTGTATGACGTTCACTCCAGGATTTAAAGAATGCTATTATATCCTTAGAAGTTGTTGAGAAAATTCATAGCTCAGGCTGTAGGTTTAGCAGCTTGCTGTTTAGCTCCATCAACAAACACATTGACTTTGAACCAGGATATGAACCAATAAGAAAACAGACCATCTGAACCACCAATCAGTGATAGAACTGACCACCCCCCCACCAGATGAATTTCATGCCCCTCAACCAGTCACTTCACCCAAAACCCTGCTGAAGACGTTACCAAGTTTGATAATGAAACATCCGGGAGCTAAAAAAGCAAGCTCGGGGAACAGACCGCTGCCAAAAAGCTATTATATCCTCTCTCACTCTTGTAATGCTTGAAGCACGAAAGCTGACAAGACTCAAACACGAGTCTTCCTTCAAATTTGCCACCTTCACCTAGCTCTTCCTAATAGATTTTAGAAGGGCCAATTCAACTCAGAGAAGGTGATTCAAAGACAGGCAGGCATTAAACTGTGTTGAGTTCTAAAACTTAATTAGCAACCAATTGCAACTCTTATAATTGTGATGTTCTGTGAATGAACATGAGCATTCCCAGAGCTGCTGAGGCATATGGTCCACCACCTCAAGCTTGCAAATAATCCTCAGGGGTTGCCCCATGAAGAACAAATTGCAATAGTCCAGTTCTGAGGTGACAAGGACATCATTCAATGAGAGCAACATGTCTATTTCCAGAAATGTCCGCAATTGGTGCACAAGATGTAATTGTGTGAGATTCACTTTGCTACTACCTTCACCAGCTATTAAAATAGGAGAGGTGACTTCAGAACCTCTAGTTTTTGAGCCATCTCCAACTAGGGAAGAAAAATTATATAAGGATTCCAGAAATAATTAGCTTACAAATCCACAAGTACTCCATCTGTGCACACAACATATACCACAGGTATATAATTGCCTATCATCAGCATGGTGTGTCAGGTGAGCTCAATCCATCTCAATCCATATTTCTATGTATTGTATGAACAAAGAGAAATGATTAATTAGGAATCCTGCTGTACTGTTCAAATTAGTCAACCACACAACCAGGATCTGAAGCCAGTCTTTCAAAATTAATTATATCAAATTGCCAGCATAAATGCATTGATATTTTGGAGATGTTTCAAGGACATCAGTTCATGGTCAATAGCAAAGAGTAGTTTTTGAGAACGTCCATTGAACTAACATACTAACATTCTGTTTGTTTCTTTCAAGGCATTCTCCTACACTTCCTCGTTCTGGGCCTCCTTCTTCTTTTCATGGTCTTTAAGAAAATGTCATGGGTCTCAGACTGTCACATCAATAGATGTAGAGAACACAAAAAGCAATACAGCTGCCCTGAGGTAAATTTATATCTGCCATATTGTTTTTAACTGAGTAATATTTCAGTGTCATTCAGGTAAAACCCAGCTAAAGATTACTTGAAACAACAGAGACTGACATCAACTGATGTTGTCTTGTGAACAAACATGACTAAAATTAATCACCACCATTTGAGTTTCAAAACAAATGTTGTTGGTTTTTCGGGTCTGATTACATGAATAAAATAGAGCTGGAAGGGACCTTGGAGAACTTCTAGTCCAGCCCCCTGTTCAAACAGGAAAACCCAAACCACTCCAGACAAGTGACTGTCCAGTCCTTAAAAACCTCCAGTGATGGAGCACCCACAATTTCTGGAGGTAAGCTATTCCACTGGTTGATTGTCCTCACTGTCAGGAAATTTCTCCTTAATTCCAGGTTGCTTCTCTCTTTGACCAGTTTCCAGCCATTGTTTCTTGTCCTACCCTCTGGTGCTTTGGAGAATAATTTGATCCCCTCTTCTTTGTGGCAGCCCCTCGAATACTGGAACACTGCTATCATGTCACCCCTATTTCTTCTTTTCTTTAGACTAGCCAAACCCAAGTCCTGCAGTCTATCTTTGTATGTTTTAGTCTCCAGCCTTTTGATCATCTTAGTTGCTCTTCTTTGAACTTTTTCCAAGGCCTCAACATCTTTTTTGTAGTATGGTGACCAAAATTGGCTGCAGTATTCCAGGTATGGTCTCACTAGGGTTTCATGATTCTGAATTGGACCTGTAACCTCAGGCTCTGTTCTGTTTGATTGTCCTCTCACATTAACTTCTAGCTTTTAGGTTAGAAACATGTCTCCATGTTTTTGAGATACAATGCCGATTTGTTCTGAAAAGCAAGGGTCTGCGTTATGAAGCACAAAGACTCGGTTTCTTCCTTAGAACTTACAAATTAAGGTCATCTTTCTTTAGGAAGTTACAGAATTAAACTAAAAGCATCCAAGCCGGAAGGATTTCTCCTTCAAATGAGCTATTTTCCAAAGGAGCTCAAATGTTAGCGGTGATGCTCAGAACAAAACCCTCTCTTTCAAATGCAGCTTCGCTAACATCGAATAGCGAGCAATTATTATATCTTACGGTTTTGAAATTAAGTTTCTCTTAAGGCAGTCTGAATTAGCTTATTTAGCAGAGCTGTATTATACTAATGGCTCATATTCTTTCTTAAGCTTTCTCATTTTCTCACCCACAACTCTCCAGCCACCTCAATTTTATTCCTTTCCTCTCCTTTCCTTTCCTTTCCTAAAAGTAGTAATAAGATTATCTCCTCTTTTGGTGTTAGGTTTAACAATCCAGTTTATTTATTTTGCAGTGAATGTACAAAAAAAGGGCTGATGCATTAATAATCAGAAGGGATACCCAAATAACAAACCAGTACAATGATCTGGATAATTTTCCATTCACAAAATTTACAAGAGATTTACAAAACAGGCTTGTTGAAGCTCTGAAGAATTTCGTGAGAAGGAACAAAAAATAAATAAAATAAAGAAGAAATAAAGTGCTAGGACATCACAAGTAGCCCTTGACTTACGATCACAATGGAGCCCAAAATGTTTGTTGCTAAGTAAGACATTTGTTAAGTGAATTTTGCCCCATTTTAGGATGACCTTTCTTGCCATAGTTCAGGGGTAGGCAACCTTGGCTCTTTTATGACTCATGGACTTCAACTCCCAGAATTCCTGAGCCAGCATGGCTCAGCATGGAAACCTCTTCCTTTCCCCTCAGCATGTCTGACTCAGGAATTCTGGGAGTTGAAGTCCACAAGTCACAAAAGAGCCAAGGTTGCCTACCCCTGCCATAGTTATTAAGTGAATCACTGAAGTTGTTAAGTTAGTAAGTAAGCTCTTAAGTGAATCTAGCTTTCCCCTTTGACTTTGCTTGTCAAAAGGTCACAAAAGGGGATCATTATGACCCCGGGATACTGCAACTGTCATAATTATAAACCAATTGACAAGCATCTGAATTTTGATCCCATGACCAGGGGGATGCTGCAACGGTCATGAGTGTGAAAAATGGTCATAAGTCACTTTTTTCAGTGCCGTTGTAACGGTCACTAAGTGAACTATTGTAAGTCGAGGACTACCAGTACTTGAGAGGAGAAAATCAAGGTTGTTCAAAGTACAAGGAAGGAATATAAAGTTCCTTTATGTAATCGGGGATAAAATAGATACATGTTG